ATTGGTTGAAATTTTTTTAAATTGACTTGAATTTTATGGATGTTACATAAGTAGGGGTGAACATATTAAGCGAAAACCAAACCATAACCAAATTAACCAATTAACTGAACCATTACTAAAAAATATAGTGTGCTTTTTAATTTTGGTTAAGAGAATACATATGGTTCGGTTATGAATTTCATCTAAAATTGAACCACTATTAACCGAACCGAACCAATAATATTAATAAATATTTTTAATATAATATAATATTAACTAGTATTTTGTATGTAATTATATTTAGAATTGAAAATTTAAGGAAAAATGTTTGGATTTAGATATGATTGATAAGTAATCTTTTATATATATATATATATATATATATATATATATATATATATATATATATCCGGTAAGAATTTTTTTTTTTGTAAAAAGGTTTTTTTTTTCTATATATTTTTTTGGCGAACAAAACAAATAAATCACTAGATGAAGAAAAAAATAACATGATTCACAAAAAAAATTCACGAAAAACATCTCGATGATTATTTTTACAATGATGTTGTTGATATTCAATAAATTGTCAGAAAAGTGAATTTATTCTTGATTTACTTAAAAATGAATCATGCAGGTGTTTTTTAGGGAATTTTTTCTTATGAATCATATTACTTTTGAATAATCTAATGATTCATTTTGTTTGTTTGCTAAAAAAAGATGTATATAAAAAGTTTGTTACCTTCCTACCAAAATTTTCCTTCTTATTTGATTTTGATTATATATATATATATATATATATATATATATATATATATATATATATATATATATATATATATATATATATATATATATATATATCAGTCACTTTTTATAACAATGGACTTCATGTTTATCAATTTTTATAGAAATGTATTTTCATTTTTATGTCATCTTGGACCTAACCGATATTAACCATTAGCCATAACCATTAACCGATTAAAACCGTTAACCAAAAATAATATTAACCGCTATCCAATGGTTATTGAAATACATTAACCAATTGTAAGGTTATGATTCGGTTTTGACCAATAACCGAAACAAACCGTCTCATACACACTCTATCCTTAAGTTAGATAGAAATTATTAGTTTTAGCAGATAAATTTACAAAAAAGATAAAATTAAAAAAAAATTTGCAAATTTGATTCTTTAATAGTCTTAGACTTTAGATAAACGGATAAAAACTTAGACTTTAGAATTGAAAATTTTAAGAATTTTATGCATAATAATAATATATAATAATAATAATAATCAAAATTTCAAAGCTCTTGTTAGGATTTCCTTCATGGGTCATGGTGAAGTATCACCCGCAAAACACCTTCGGGTTTCTACACCCGTTCTTTCCAAGTTGTTACTTCCTCTTCTTCCATTCCACTACTTGTCTCTTTCGTCCTATCTATCATCTATAAAACACCCACCAATTTGGGTTCTTTTTCGCAGCACTTGACTACATCAAATTCCCCTTTTCTTCAATTTAGGGACGCAAACATAATCCAATTCTAGATTCATCTAAAGCAGATTAATGGCTTCCATTAACATGTCTTCCGCATCCACATCTTTACTTCGCTCAAAGTAAGCATCTCTGCCCGTTTTTCTATCTTGTTATCCTCTTTAATTTGATTCTATTGAAATCAATTGGGAATTTTCTTTTCTGGATTTTAGTTTATTTGCGAGCTTTTTGGATTCGTTCGAATTAATGTTGATTTGAGAAATTTCTTATCGATTCAGACCACTGGATCTCTGTTTCAATTTATAGTAAAAAAGAACCGGTTATTGTTATTTTATGATTGATTTTTATCTATACCAAACAGGTATACGATTTGAGCGTTATAGTTCCAAATACAGAAATTTCAAGCTAGTGTTTTGAACATAGAATCGGAGATTTTCAAATCCATTTGAAGCTAATTACGTTAAAATTTCAATTCAAGATGCTTTAATTCCGATTCCTTTAAATAGATTCGCATTTGGATGTTCTATAAGTACCAAAAGGCTCTCTCAATTACCCCATGCAATACTTTTTTTCTTTTTGGTGATAGAGAATTTTCTTTAGTGGCAATACTTTTTTGTTGGGTGATAAGACAATTTTCTATAGTATCAAGTTCCATTTCACATTTTCACCCTTGTTAATCATTACAAAATACCGCAAGGTATAAAATCTAATCTTTATCATTTCAAAACCTGTGACATTTGCCTCTCATAATTGACTACCTATCCTATGCTGCAGGATGATCACAAACTTCAGCACATACAACAGTCTTCACTCTGTAAATCTTATCTCATCCAATGGACATACATCAGAGACATTTCTCCATCTCACTACAAAATCATTCTCCAAAACTAAACCTGATGGTAGACTCAGAGCTTCACTATTGCCTCTAGATGGTGGTTTTAATCAAAAAAGCATTAATGGTGTTAGTGTATCATCTGGAATTCTGATACAACCTGATTCAATAGCTTTGGGTACACTAGCAGCTGAAACCACTCCTACCATGAACAGTTTCTCTAATGAAGCTGATGAATATGATTTAGATCAACCCACCACAGGCTTTTCATCGATTCCAGAAGCAATTGAAGATATACGCCAGGGAAAGGTTTGTACATTTCAATTCCTCATTTAACAAACTATAAATATATATCCAATTTTCCCTCCAAAATTTCTCTTATTATTGCAGATGGTAGTTGTAGTAGATGATGAAGACAGAGAAAACGAAGGAGATTTGATAATGGCAGCATCATGTGTTACACCAGAAGCCATGGCTTTCATTGTTAAACATGGAACTGGGATTGTTTGTGTAAGCATGAAAGGAGAAGATTTGGATCGTTTGGAGCTTCCATTAATGGTAACTCACAAAGACAATGAAGAGAAGCTCTCTACAGCATTCACAGTATCAGTCGTACGTCGACTTTTCACATTTTCTTTCAAAAAAGTAACCCAATTTGTTAATTTTATTAGAATTCTATTATTGATTTGTAGGATGCAAAACATGGCACAACTACTGGTGTGTCTGCCCGTGATCGGGCAGCCACCATTAAAGCTTTAGCTTCAAAGGATTCACTGCCCGGTGATTTCAACCGCCCGGGACATATATTTCCATTGAAATACAGGGAAGGTGGTGTTTTGAAAAGAGCAGGTCATACTGAAGCTTCTGTAGATTTAGCAGTGTTAGCTGGATTTGATCCTGTAGCTGTTTTATGTGAGATTGTTGATGATGATGGTTCCATGGCTAGATTGCCAAAGCTTCGGGAATTTGTCAAAAGGGAGAACTTAAAGCTTATATCAATTGCTGATCTAATCAGGTAAATGAAATTCTTGTTTTTAATTAATGGATTTAATGGGTCTAAATGTCTAATCATTATTATTAGGCTATGTGTGACAGAGTAGCTGAAAAAACTAACTGATAGCTAAAAAGCTAGCTGGTAGTTGAAAAGCTAGCTTCTAGGTTATAAGCTAGTTGAGAAAAAATGACGTTTGGTAAAAACTAGCTGAAAGATATAAAATGACATAAAAGGACATTTAGAAGAATATGTTTTTTTATAATTAAATAAGGGTATATTCGGGAAGTTTTAAAAAAGCTACTCAAAGTAGCTTAAGTTCTGAGTACACTTGAGTATATTTGTGACATTTATTTAAATTTGCAGGTATAGAAGAAAGACAGATAAACTAGTGGAACGTGCTTCTGCTGCACGTATACCTACTACGTGGGGCCCATTTATTGCGTATTGTTATAGATCAATCTTAGATGGAATGGAACATATTGCAATGGTGAAGGTAATAAGATAAACAAATAATTGGCTTTCTTTTTTTTAAGTTTTTATAGAAATTGAATAGTAAAAATAATAAAAGATTTTGTGGTGTTATTAAAACAGGGTGAGATTGGTGATGGGAATGAGATTCTTGTAAGGGTACATTCGGAATGTTTAACAGGAGACATATTTGGGTCTGCAAGATGTGATTGTGGGAACCAATTAGCACTTGCAATGCAACAGATTGAAGAGGCGGGAAGGGGCGTTTTGGTCTATTTGAGAGGTCATGAGGGTAGGGGGATTGGATTAGGGCATAAGCTTCGTGCTTATAATTTGCAAGATGATGGTCGTGACACTGTTGAAGCTAATGAAGAGCTTGGTTTGCCTGTTGATTCTAGGGAGTATGGAATTGGTGCTCAGGTATAATAATTTATATATTTGTCAAAGGGTATTTTAGACATTTAATTGTTTGTATGTAATTTTGATGAAATCACTTTATCTTGTTTTTTGGTGTGTAGATATTGAGAGATTTGGGAGTGAGAACAATGAAGCTGATGACAAATAATCCTGCTAAATACAGTGGATTGAAGGGATATGGTTTGGAAGTTGCAGGAAGAGTTCCTCTATTGACTCCAATTACAAAACACAACAAGAGATACCTTGAGACCAAAAGAGCCAAAATGGGACACGTGTATGGATCCTCTGGGAACAACAGCAATGGTGTCCCAAATCTCATCACTAAGAAGGAAACCCCAACCACTCAAAATCCAACCGATTAAGTTCATGTTCATCAATTGACCTAAATTCTTCTTCTTACTTACTTGGTTCTTTTAAAAACTTCATATAGGCCTCCCTCCAACTAAACTTATATAATGTAAGATGAAGGTATTCAGAACCTGAGAAAAATTCATTCTTTCAAGTTGATTTTTTTTTTACATGAATTTGTAATACATGGGAAAAGGATGTTGTGAGTTTTGTTTATGTATGATGTTAACTTGGAACAATAAAAAATGATGCGACATTTAGATTTAGAAGTGTTTTACAATGCAATCAACTAACTTGCTTAAGATTAGAGTGAAGTCAAGTTTTGGGAAACTTTGAAGTCATGTTATTGCAACACAATAGACATGCCCTTCTCTACTATAAATAATCAACCTTCAAACTTCCATATTCACATCAAGCTCATCTCAAAACCCACAAAATTTAATCAATCTCGTCATAGAAATTGAGAAATTCAACAATGAAGGTCATATTGGTAGTTTTTGTGTCGTTTGGCTGTGTTTTCTTTCTAGTACCCATTTTATTTGCTTTATGTTACATCATAAAAAAACTTAAATGCAGCAAGATGGCTGAAAAAACTGAAATGGTGCATATCGATGAGCATTTGAAGGTGAGGGAGAATGTTGTGCAAGGTCCAAATGGCACGAAGGCAGTTGCAATTACAATCGATGATGATTTACATGTTGATGAAGAAGAAGAGTCGAGGAAGAAAGAGAAGCTTGGAAAGGAACACCATTAAATAGTTTGTGATGACATTCATGTTCAGATTACAACCTCTAAAGCTTTAAATTTGAATTTGATATATGGTGTAAATAAAGTTGTGGAATTTATTATATTATACAAGGTGATTGCTTTCTTATTTTATTAATCTATTTAACATTTTATTACAGTATAAAATAAATTAAAATGTTACAAAAAAGATATTGACCGGCCTAATACTTGGGCGGGTTGGGCTTGGGCCTAGGTCAGCAAGGTCAACCCCCGTTTTAGTTTCGGGGGCGGGGGCGGGGGTTGGCAGTCCCGTCCCGAAACCCCCGTGGGGGCCCGTTAATAAATTATATATATTGACATATATTAATTATATAAATATAATAAACGATAAAATGATTTGTACGTACAAAAATTCAACAAAAAACATGTTTTTAAGTTGTTTGTAATATGTAAAATTATGCTACAAATAACTATTTGTTATTCAAAAAATAGTTTCTTTTAATCCAAACAAGAACTTCTTTTATCCCAAATAAGGTAGCCCAAAATCAATCGGGGGCGGGGGCGGAGGTAAGAAGGGGAATTCGGGGGCGGGGGCGGGGGTGGAAACGATGGAGATTTTGAGGGCGGGGACGGGAGCGGGGGAATGAGAAAATTTTGGGGGCGGGGGCGGGGGCGGGGGATGCAATCTCCGTCCCGTTTGCCCCGTTGACATCCTTAGTGAGGTTAGAGAGAGACGAGGAAATGGACATGTGGGTTGAAAATCCTAGCGTGAGTGGGAGGGATGGTGTCCGCAATAAAAGGCAATAACTCAAGGACAATTTTTCTTTCTTTCTTTATTTATTTATTATTATATTTTTTTTTTACAAAAAACAGAACATGGACTAAACCTGAAAAACTAACATACCATAAGAACCAACTTTGTGATTTACTTTGGAAAAAATAGTATGGCCGTCACCAGCCATAATACCATTTTTTTATACAAAAAATGGTATAAAATTGATCTCTACCCTAACATCATTTTTATACAAAAAAGAATACTCGAAACTGTCATCTATTTTTCTTACAAAAAACTTTATAAATTATGTAATTAAATAAATATATTGTATATAATAAATTGGAATTTATATATATATATATATATATATATATATATATATATATATATATTCTTTTTTCTTAACTTATTTATATTTTCAAAAATACCCCTTCTATTTATTAGCTTTTTTTTTAAACTGTCATCTATTTTTCTTACAAAAAACTTTATAAATTATGTAATTAAATAAATATATTGTATATAATAAATTGGAATTTATTGTTGTATTGTTACACAAACATTTTATTAAATAAATAAAGTTACATCCATAACACATTTAGGTAAATCTACACATGTATGATTTATAGGTTATAAAATATATTTCCACAAATGATGAATTAATGTATTTGTATAACCATCAAACTTGAAAGACTAAGATTGGTATTTAAAACTGACACCAAAAATGTTGTTAGTGAATAGTAATACTTCATCATTGGAGTAGTAATATTTATAACACAATTGTGACCTATTTTTGGGTAGTATTTTTTATTTTTTATTTTTATCATTATTATTTTTGCAAATTGGCAACCATGTCCTGGTAATGTTCATTTGGAGCGCATATAATTCTTTAACAATCCACAAGCTGAGAACAATAAAAGAAATATATATGTGAAATGACATTCAGATCTTCAGAAGTGTTTTACAATACAATCAACAACATGCTTAATATTAGAGCCAAGTCAAGTTTTTGGAAACTTTTAAGTCATGTGCTATTCTAACACAATAGACAGGCTCTTCTCTAGCTACTACAAATAATCAACCTTCAAACTTCTTTATTCACATCAAACTTTTCTCAAAACCCACAAAATTTAATCAATCTCATCATAGAAATTGAGAAATTCAACAATGACGGTCATATTTGTAGTTTTTGTGTCGTTTGGTTGTGTTTTCTTTCTGGCACTCACCTTATTTGCTTTATGTTGCATCATAAAAAAGCTCAAATGCAGCAAGATGGCTGAAAAAACTGAAATGGTGCATATCGATGAGCATTTGAAGGTGAGTGAGAATGTTGTGCAAGGTCGGAATGGCATGAAGGCAGTTGCAATTACAATTGATGATGATTTACATGTTGATGAAGAAGAAGAAGAGTACAGGAAGAAAGAGAAGCTTGAAAAACAACACCATTAAAGAGCTTGTGATGACATTCTTGACCAGACTACAACCTCTAAAGCTTTAAATTTGAATTTGTTGGTGTAAATAAAGTTGTGGAATTTAATATATTATACGTAAGGTGATTACTTTTATTTATTTATTTATTTAACTTTGTGACATTTAGTTTGTTACAAAAGAAAATAATAAAATGTTGCAAAAAGAATATTCATTTTCTAGCAAGTGTACGTAGTCTCAAAACTTTTTCATGCAAGGTTTGGTTATGGGATTTTTTACACGCTTATAGAGTTGTAGTACTTCTAAATGGGGTCTATGCTCTTGTCAAAAAGTTCGGCAGGGCGGCTCAACCAGTATAGGGGCTCTAAGCCAACCAAAAATTTGGGGCCATACTTAATGTTATAAATTAAACCCTCATCCTTTCCAAAATCCAACTTGACACAACGAATATTGAAAAAAAAAAAGTCATATTAACCCTAATAGATAGTTTAATCGGAGAAAAGAATCAGTCAAGACTATTCTATAATCTACATAAAAGTTTAAAAAACAGATTTTCTCATTTTGTGCAGAAAATAAAAAACAGATTTCTACATGACTACATCAAACGAAACTTCATCAAAATAACAAAATTTATCGATTATCATAGATAATAGATTATCAAATTATCACAAATTCACAATCATAGATAATCAACAATGAAGAATGGACTGAGTTATGGTGAAATAGAGAATCAGAGGAAGAACCGAAGAAGAACAATAGAACATACCTTTTCAACCTTTCAAGTTTCAGGATTCAGGAAAACAATCACCAAATCGCTTGAATTAATCTTGACACTTGACATCTTTAAAAAAAAAAGAATCAATCAACTTATCAAAAATCTCCAGAAAGAAGATTAGAAGAAGAATAGAAAATCAGAGAAGTAATGGTTTTGTGCGGTTCTGCGTAGAATCAAGAATGAAATCACTAATAAGTTAATTAGATTCATAGGACAAAGAAAGAAGAAGCGAAGAACAATTGCCGAGTCGCCGCTTCTGCCGAATGGTGAATGAAGAATCTGAATAAACAATCCCCTAATTTAATTTTGGGTTAAGGGGCCCCTTAGAATTGGGGGCCCTAAGCAAGGGCTTATTTTTTTGTACAGTAAGGCCGATACAGAAATTCGAGTATCTTTAAATTCACCTCACCTAGATGGAGGCTCATTTAATATGTTTAAATATTAAGAGTGAACCATCGAGACGCTTTAATTGTTATTTCAACAAGTTAAGTCTCAAGCACATATAAATAGATGCGTGCTGCAACAATTTAGAAGAAGTACCAGCATAAATCAAGAGTACAAGTAGCGTGACAGCCAAAAATGTGAGTGATACCTTATAATGAGTGATCATATTTCAAGTGTATTTTAATCTTATATGATTGTAATTTCTTTGGTGATAATAACATCTTCTCTCTTTCTTTCTCTCTCTCTCTCTCTCTCTCTCTCTCTCTCTCTATATATATATATATATATATATATATATATATATATATATATATATATATATATATATATATATATATATATATATATATATATATATATATATATATATCGTTTGCCCGTGGATTAGCATATCAAAGTGATCGTGTGAACCACGTTAAATATCGTGTTCCGATTTTATAGTTTTTCAGTAGTATTATATTATGCATGTGTTACTGAAATCATTTATCGTTTTGTCTGAAGTGCTTAACCGGTTTTGTTTTTCCAACAAACTGTTATCACAATTATGGCTGAATATGGGAAAATTAATATCAGCAAATTCGATGGTCAAGATTTCGGTTTCTGGATAATACAAATCGAAGATTATCTATACCAGAAGAAGCTACACCTACCATTGACCGAAAGGAAACCAGAAGAGTTAGAGCATCAGGATTGGGATCTGTTAGATCGACATGATCTTGGTGTAGTCAGGTTGTTATTGGCAAAGAACATTGCTTACAACATTGTCAATGAAAGAATAACATTTGGGTTGCTCAAGGCGTTTAGTCCATAAAGAGATTTGTGAGGTAGACATAGATGATTAGGTTTCGTGGGATGTACAAAACATGGTGGTTGACGTAAGTAAATTGTCTCATTTTGTTCACCATGCAATTAGGCATTTTGAACATCCAATTGGCGAAGCGTCCATTTCTGAGTAACATCAAGAGAAAGAACCGTGCAAATAGTGGTAGATTTCAGAACTGGACTAAATGTTTCATCGTAATTAATACCATATTGCTTCTTCAACCCCTTTGCTACCAAACGTGCTTTGTAGCGAGTGACCTTACCAGTTTGATACTTTTTAAGTTTGTACACCCATTTACAGTCAACCACATTTGCATCGGGAACTGGCGAAACAATAGACCAGGTGTTATTTTGTATGAGAGCAGCATATTCTTCAGACATGGAAACTTACCACTTGGGTGATTTGTTGGCACTGGCCAAGGTTGTAGGCTCAATATCATAAGAGTTTGTGGATGTAGCATAGGCATATGGGTCATAGGGGATACGTGGTTTTGAGTTATGTCGAAGATGGGATGGTCGGACACGAGTTTATGGCTCGGACTACACAGAAACATGAATGGTGGATTGTGTAGGAAGTGGTGGAGCTGGTTCGGTGGTGGTGGTGGTTGTGGAGGCTGGTTCGTTGTTTAGAACCGTAGAAGAGGAGGAGCTGGTGGAGGGAGTTTCAGTGAGTATAATAGGAGGTGTAGGTGGTGTGGCAGTATCGATAGGGATATTTTAATATGGAATAATTGTAGGGTAACTCGAGATGTATGGATCAAGAGAAGGAGTGATAGGTGGAATGGGT